GTGGGCTCCCAGTCACCTCAATGGGACTTAGCCACGAATGCTATGGAACTGTTTTCAGCATGAGGTGACTGTGCGGTTCCCGGACAACTTGGTTATAGGTTTGGGCATAGGACCATGTGTGTGGCCGGTCAAAACACGTTGGCGTTTCCCCTACACTGCATGGATCTCAGCGCTATTTGAAGAACTTGGGCGCTCAGATCGGGGCTATTTAAAGATATATTATTTGTGGGGTTATTTTATGTTTTTATTATGTTTTGAGGTATTTTTATGTTTTATATTTTTATGTTTGCCTCTCTGTTCCTGGGAGATAATTAGCTTACTGGTCTTTAACGCAATTATCTCCCATGCCCAGAGATTCCTGGGAGGAGCTTGTAGAGATCCCTGCTGGTGTCTGTGTATAAAAAGGCTATGTTTGGATGCATTAAACCAGTTGTACTCCCAGAACTATGTGTCGTCTAGTTACTGGGAGGGGAAGGGCTTTAAACACTGCTCAGCACCTTGTTCCAGCTCTTGGAGAATTCTGCAGGGGAAGTCCTTGTAAGGACTAGAGCTCCCAGGACTGTGTGTGCAGAGGTACCCAACCGGGGTCCAGGGAACTCTGTTACATCAAGCATCTCCATATCCTTAACTGTTGTATAATACAATGATAAAAAGGTTAATTTATATATAAGGAAGGATGTTGTGGCATTTAGGAGAATGGGGAAAGAGTTTAGATTCACATCTAAGCCTCTTTCTCATTCACATTGTGAATAAGGGGTGCAGAGGGGTTAAAAATAAGGAATTGGAATTCTTGTGGATTTACCCCCAAATTTCTCTATCACTCATAATCTCTGTGTGTGATAGGTATGCTTGGGACTAATTAGTCATTATATAATATAGTGATGAAAGGATAACTTTCTTTGAAGTGCTGGTTGATGCATTTAACTTCAAGCCTCCCTCTCATTTTGTATATGAAAGGGACACTTGCAGCCCTTAACAATGAATTCATCCTTTGGGCATGTAGCAGGAGGTTGATAGAAGGTGGGGCATGTCTGATGATAGGGGGTGAGTATATTCTCATTATATGCCTCCATGTTTACTCCATCCATGCATCCCTTTAAAGCACCATGACCACTTCAGTGATTTGATGTGGTCTTGGTACTTTGGGTCTATATTTTCAGCGTTTCACACATAATTGAATCTGTCTGCTGCTAGGACAGCTAAATGCCAATTCTGTGCATATAGGGTGTCATGATGGCGACAGCAATCCAACAGTGACACGATTCCCAATCTGTGCCATTTTATTGGTTTGAATAAGCCTTTAAGCCGGAGAGCACAAACACAACATGACTCATGCTCATTCTCAACATTTGGTTTCTCTTCCACCCATCTTTTAGTAATGCCCTTCAGTAAGCACTGACATTACTGGTGTTGGAGCTGTCAATATCAGCATTTACCTGGAGATAGTGTCATGCATTTTTACATTTCGTACTTTTGAAACAATGACTAATTGAAAATATTAAATCCAACCCCCCGCCAAAGCAAACAAACAAGCAACCAGGTTAGTAAAATAATTGTGATTGTTATTAGTTTCCTTAAAGAAACTCTATAAGCACCAAAAGTCATTTAGCTTAATGGGGTGGTTTTGGTGTATAGCTCTTACCCGTGCAGTCTGCTCAATTATCTTCCATTTAGCAGTTACATCACTTTGTTTATAAAGTCCTAGTCACACCTCTAGGCATATGGAGGAAAAAGTAATATGAGGATCATACTGACCCCAACAGGATATATATTTATTTAATTTTTTATATAGCAGCTGATTACCAAGCGCTGGCTGGCCGTAACACAATTAACCTTTGCACTGCTGATGGGTTTGAACTATTTGGCTGCTGGCTGTAGGCAAACAGTTCAGATTATTTTTAAATCAGGGTCAAAGTTGAAGCCTCTATTTAATTTATTCAGTCTGGATTTCAGCTGCCCAGTGGTGTTTAGATGAACCTGAACTAAATTGAGGCCATTTTGGAGCCTGGTTTATAAAATCTGGACATTTATAAAATATCCATTAAAGGAATACTATATGGTCAGGAACACAAACATGTATTCCTGACCCTATAGTGTTAAAAATACCATCTAGCCCCCTGGCTCCCCTTGCCCTCTTAAATATAGTAAAATCTTACCTTTATTCCAGTCTCTTGGTGCTGACTTTGCCCCCAATCCGCATTCTTGGCTGACATCATCAGAAGATAGAAAGCATTGGATTGGCAGAGATTTTCAATTCTGATTATGTCAGCCAAGAAGGTGAGCCAAGGGAGACAGATTCAAACGTTTTCCTGGCCAATCAGAATCTCCTAATAGAGATGAATTAAATCAATGCAAATGATTGAGGAAAGTTCAATTTCTCATTGCAGAGGGTGGAGACACTGAATGCCAGTGCTGTAAACTGTGCAGCGCTGCTCCAGAAACACCTCTTATAGTCATCTGAGGAGGGACCACTGGAGGTGTCACTAGGCTGTAATGTAAACACTGCCTTCAGGGACTGACTATAGGCACCAGAACAATTACATTAAGCAGTACTGACTATATTGTTCCTTTAACAGTGTCTGGATTTTGCAGTCCGAATGGCGCCATAAGCAGCCACATGGTTTTGCCATATTCGGTACGGGTCCATTGGGACTACAATAAATAATCCTGATAAGCTTCATAAAAAAAATAAAAAAAATTTTTTCCCCAGAAGGTAATCCAATAATTTACTCGAGAGAATACATAGGAAGCTTGTGACACTTTATAACCTAAATAAACTATTTGGTGTTTTATAGAGGGTAATTGTTGAAACTGGTATGTGGTGTAACATCATTATACATCCCTATGCTGAGTGTAACATTTTATTCACTTATTTATGAGAAGTACCTTAAATAAACAACCTGCGCATGGAATAAAAGCATGTATCATTAACTCAATCTCAGCATGGTGTCAATGACTAATATCAAAGACAAAAATGTTTGACAGAATTGGATGTATACTCAACCCACCAAAATTACCATCCAAGCAAAACAACAAAAAGGCAGGCTATAAAGGTTTGGTCAAGGAAGTCTGACCACGACAGCTACCACCATTAGAAGAAACCCAACATTTAAAAAAACAAAACAGATTACAGATAATGTTTTGAGGAAAACAAGTGTATTAGAGGCAAGAACACAAACAAATAACACAATTGCAAACATGTAACTCATTATAAGGAAGGGAGTGGGGACTCTAGGATACAGGGAGAAGGTTAGGTAGCACAGGAATAGGTTGCACATGAAGATAGCTTTCTCTGGAATAATAATGGCAACACAGATATCTGGAACACTAAGGGTTTGCTCAGCATAGCAGCTTGCTCTTGAAAACTAAGGGTAACACAGTATAGCAGCTGAATCTGGAACACTAAAGGTAACACACAATAGCAGCCTGCTCTGGGACACTGAGGGTGACACAGGATAGCAGCACGTTCTGGAACACTGAGGGTAACATAGTTGCTCAAGTACCATAGACTTTAGAAAAACAGACTTTTCTAAAATTAGAATGTGTGTAGAGGAGTCATTATCAGACTGGAGCAATTTAAATGGAGTCCAAGAGAAATTGGATTATTTAAAAGTTGCACTACTGAAGGCAACAGAAAATTGCATTAGGCTTGTCAGTAAAAGCAAAAAATTCAAGAAACCACTGTGGTACTCCGCAGATGTGGCCAAAATAGTTAAAAACAAAAAGTTAGCATTTAGTAATTATAAAAAAAACCCAGAGTGAGGAAGACAGAATGATCTATAAGATTAGGAAGAAAGAGACTAAGTAAGTTAGAAGAGCTTCCAAATCACACACAGAAGAGAAAATAGCAGTCAGTAAATAAGGGGGACAAAACATTTTTTAGATATATAAATGAGAAAAGAAAAGTAAAACAAGGATTAGTTAGATTAAAAACAAAAGAAGGAAGGTATGTAGAAGAGAATAAAGGTCTAGCTGACTGCCCCAATTAATATTTTTGTTCTGTATTTACAGATGAAAATGAAGGAAAGGGACCTCAGTTAAGAAAAAGGATAAATTAGTCATTTATTACACGTGAGTTTACAGAGGAAGAGGTTCTATTTCAACTGTCAAAAGTAAAGACAAATAAGTCAATGGGACCTGATGGATACACCCAAAGCTATTAAAAGAGCTTAGTGGTGTACTAACAAAACCATTAACAGATTTACTTAACCAATCATTGTTAACAGGAGTAGTCCCAGAAGATTGGAAGTTAGCGAATGTTGTGCCCATTCACAAGAAAGGTAATAGAGAGGAGTCGGGCAACTATAGGCCAGTAAGCCTTACTTCAGTAGTGGGGAAAGTGATGGAAACCATGTTAAAGGATAGGATTGTTGAACATCTAAAAACACATGGATTTCAAGATCAGAGACAACATGGGTTTACTTCAGGGAGATCATGCCAAACTAATCTTATTGATTTTTTTGATTGGGTAACTAAAATTATAGATCAGGGTGGTGCAGTAGACATTGCTTACCTAGATTTCAGTAAGGCTTTTGACACTGTTGCACATAGAAGGCTTATCAATAAACTGCAATCTTTAAGTTTGGATTCCAATATTGTTGAATGGGTAAGGCAGTGGCTGAGTGACAGGCAACAGAGGGTTGTAGTTAATGGAATATTTTCGAAGCTTGGACTTGTCACCAGTGGGGTACCTCAGGAATCTGTACTTGGACCCATTCTCTTTAATATTTTTATTAGTGATATTGCAGAAGGTCTTCATAGTAAGGTATGTCTTTTTGCTGATGATACTAAGATATGTAACATGGTTGATGTTCCAGGAGGGATAAGCCAAATGGCAAATAATTTAGGTAAATTGAAAAATGGTCAGAATTGTGGCATTTAATGTGGATAAATGCAAGATAATGCATCTTGGATGTAAAAACCCAAGGGCAGAGTACAGAATATTTGATAGAGTCCTAACCTCAACATATGAGGAAAGGGATTTAGGGGTGATTATTTCTGATGACTTAAAGGTAGGCAGACAATGTAATAGAGCAGCAGGAATTGCTAGCAGAATGCTTGGTTGTATAGGGAGAGGTATTAGCAGTAGAAAGAGGGAAGTGCTCATGCCATTGTACAGAACACTGGTGAGACCTCACTTGGAGTATTGTACACAGTACTGGAGACCGTATCTTCAGAAGGATATTGATACCTTAGAGAGGGATCAGAGAAGGGCTACTAAACTGGTTCATGGATTGCGGGATAAAACTTACCAGGAAAGGTTAAAGGATCTTAACATGTATAGCTTGGAGGAAAGACGAGACAGGGGGGATATGATAGAAACATTTAAATACATAAAGGGAATCAACACAGTAAAGGAGGAGACTATATTTAAAAGAAGAAAAACTACCACAACAAGAGGACATAGTCTTAAATTAGAGGGACAAAGGTTTAAAAATAATATCAGGAAGTATTACTTTACTGAGAGGGTAATGGATGCATGGAATAGCCTTCCAGCTGAAGTGGTAGAGGTTAACACAGTAAAGGAGTTTAAGCATTCGTGGGATAGGCATAAGGCTATCCTAACTATAAGATAAGGTCAGGGACTAATGAGAGTATTTAGAAAATTGGGCAGACTAGATGGGCCGAATGGTTCTTATCTGCCGTCACATTCTATGTTTCTAGGGCACAGTTTCACTGAGCTAAGTCTCCAGGAAATGACACCATAAGCAAGGGTTTAGGCAGACAGGGCATATGGACTGACCTGAAACAAAATTAATGAGCTGGCAAACAAGAAGGGGCAAGTCTAAACTAAATGGGTAGGAGATAATTACAAGGTAGGGCCATCAAGGGACACAGTCAGATCTTTTTTAGTCTGGGTGCAGCAGCATACAACAGCAAAACAGAAAGGTAGTGGCATTGTGATGTACTGCACCAGAATGAAGAGATCAGAAAACTAGGGAGGTAAACATTACATTACACTAGGCTTTGGTAAATGCTACACATCGAGTGGATTAATTACTAGACATCCACCATCCTGACCTGAGACTTGTCAGATGTGCTGGTCAGCCTTTCCATTTGAATTCCCAGTAATACAATGTACACTTTCCATAGTTCATAGGTCTTTAGCATTGGACATTGTGGAAGCACAGATAACCATTATGTCAGTAAGAACTGTGAGACTGATACAGGATGGACAGGATATAAATCAATGCCTTCTAAACAGTAAGTATGCTTAGGAGTCACTTGGGGTCAAGGAAAGAAAGTGCAGCCTTCATTTATTGAACTGTTCTTTTATTGCCTTATGTTCTTGGTATGGTGCCTGAAATGTAATCCATAGTTGCACCAAAGACTTGGATTGCAGAGTATAGCATAGTCAGGCCCACAAGTCATTTTGCCTCTTTACAGTTATAATTCTTATGATAGTGAGAGGTAGATTTTTAATCATAACTAACATTTCCAGAAGTTCTTAAAACTTTTAAAGCTTGTTGATGTGTTTCAAGATGCTGAGGGTCTCAATAAGCACTTGTCAGGTTTAGTGGAAGGAACCCTTAACACAGTAATGAGCTAAAAAGGTAAAGCAAAGTGATGTACCAATATGGATATGGCATAGACACAGCCTATATACTAGGTGGTTGTGGTGGTGAATGCCACACTGGTTGGTACCCAGGCAATGGAACTCCTGACACACAAGGATGCTAACCATTAAACAGAAACAAGCGGGTTGATGCATGCTAGCATGGAGCCCCCGCGAAAAGAGAATGAGATGCAGTGGGGGTGTATGAGATAAATCAGAGGGTGAGCAGAGATCTGACACCACAATATAAAACATTGTCCACCGCAACTTGTGTGCACCCTGACATTGTTAATAGCTGAACTGATGTTTCAGTGGCAGTTATCACACTTTTACTTTGCGTACAAATTAATCTTTTATGTAGCAGTAAATTAGAAATAGCATAATCTATCAGTATAAAGTGGAAGCGTGCTCACAGGTACTCGCATTTGCCCAGTATGTTAATCCAGTACAAATAAAAATTGTTAGAGCTTGAAATATGTCTCCAAGATAGTCAGTCCCTCCCAGTGGGAACAATGAAAAAATATGAAAGAAAATGGCTCTCTCCTATAGATGAGTCATAGTCAGCTGATCTATAAAAGATATGTAACCCCATGGGACATTAAACCACAAAACAAATAGCTGAAATGTCCAGCACAGAGCATCATCAAATGCAAGTAATAATGGCGTTCTGATCATTGCGTTTTGGACATGCTGTACTTTGTTGAGAACCCTATATAGTTAATTATTTATATACTCACAACTTCAAGAAACAAGGAGTTTGATTTGTTGTGCACTACAGTCGCATTACAATTTGTTGCCGAAATGATTTGATTATTCTAAAACTTTAAATATATTTAATCATGTCAACTGAGAAACACAGCGAGGCGACTGGAGGTTCTGTCAGAGGTTACCATGAATATTTACAGGCAAAAAGCAATAACTGGTCTAAAGTGGAACTAAAACACATTGTATTTTGAATAACAACACTTGAAAGGTATCTTTAAGGAAATTGGTTGTTTCTATCATGTATTTACCTAAAGACTTTTATTTTCAACATGTAGAATAATAATAATTTTTTTTTTTTTTTTGCTTTCTTCGAATGCAGAATCCAAAAATTGTCTAACATTAGAATATAACAAGGAAGCAACGATAAATTAGAAAAACTCTTTGGTTCCTTCACAGGCTAATCAGAGATGTACAGAGAGAAGGACCTTTTAAGTTTAATGATACCTGCTCATTAAATGATGCTAAACACTAAAATATCACGAACAGCAGGGAATTTTCAGTTTACATTAGAGAAAAAAATAAAAGGGCAAAAATGACTGAAGTTGGTCAGTTCAAGCTGATAGGGCACTTCAAATGAATAACAGAAGAATAAAAGACATACTCTAGGTTAAATTAGGCTCTCCTATGCTTTTTCTTGAAAGTGCTCAACTTCACATATTTTATTTGAATTAACTAACCTACCAAAAATCAAAGGCTTAAATAAGGGTAAAGTTAAATATGGAACTATATTTCACAGTAGTTTACCCATTGTACAAAAGATAAAATTGTAACAGAAAATGTGTTTTGTTATGGGCGGATGGTGTATAAAGGGTGTATATTCTCCCTCTTTAGCCAAGTGAATTTACATGTTTGATACAGCAGGGGATCGAGATTTGCATTACAGAATACAATTACATAGACCTTCAACATATTTCATGTGATAATCCTGGTGTGGCAGAAAGATTCCTAGTGAGTGATTCTACTGCTTATTTACAATTTATTTCTGAAGATTAATCCTTTCAATAGCAATGAGGTTTTTTTTTTCCTCCAAACCACCCAGAACAACAAATACATAGCAATGTATTATAGACGTTTTTTTTGATTAAAAGAAGAAGGGCAATGCATGCATTCATTAATTATGATTTGAATCAAATTTAAATTAAAATAAACAAAAACGAAAGAAGTTAGCTTAAAGATGATTTGTTCTGTATACTTCTTGGCACATAAGAACATTTACACATTTATGGTTGGCAGATTTACAGATATCTGTGGCTACAATTTCTCCTATAATGAATATGGATTCAAAAAACAAAGCCTACAAACTGCTTTCATATACTCGATTCTGTTGAGTTCTATTATATGCTACATTGAGCCTAAGAATTTTCTTGACAAGCAAGAATGACAAGCTTACTGAAAATTCACTTTGACTCACATCAATATGCTTAGGTATTAGAAACACAGCGACAGCAGACCACACAAATTAACAGAAAATACTCTGTAACTGCAAACAAAGACACACAAATTGCTCTGTCATGTGGCAGAAATGAGTATTTAGAAGGTTATACTTTTTGAAAACACAATTAATTGGTGGAACGTCTACACATTTTTTGGAATACGTTATTCTCAAAATAAAACTCTCCACCTTCATATTTTTGACCCATCACAACATCAAATTAAAGTAAAAAAATACATTCTAAATAAAAAACATCTGTTCAAGTCTAACCACAAACATACATAGTGTAGAACATTAATAATTCAAAGACATGAGCGTCATCATCATGATCATAATCTGCAATATATCTCATCCTTGTTTGTAAAGGTAATGTGTTTAGTTCATGAACTGTTATAGATTTTGATAGATATGGTATAAATCTCGACTGAAGACATTTCCCCTTATTTAATAATAATTTTATAGTAACCAAATTTGACATCAAAATGAATAGACATTTGTCTGGAAGGTGTAGGCTTTGCTAAATGAATAGTTTATAACATATTGAATAAGCTTCCAAGTGTGTATTTTGTATCTAGTTACATGGTTGGTGAGGTTTAGAAAAGCTGTTATCAGGTTTAATCTTTCTTAGATATCTATGTTAATTTTAGAGCAAGGATCTTCTACTTTTGGTTTGGACAAATCGAATTTCAAAATATGCAGGACTCCCATATGCTTCTTGGTATGTAAATACTCAAATCAAGTAAAACATTAATTTTAAATTATTACTCAATTTTTAATAAGTGAATAAAGTTGGAATACAGAACTTTACATGGCCATTATTATGTTATTTTTTCAAGAATAACTGAATGAATTATGTATTGCTCACAAATAAAATTGGACAGCTGGATGATAAATGAATGTGTTGCCTGTTTTGGTCCGTTGATTTTTGGGATGTCTACACTGAACCTGTGTAGATATGAAAAGTTATATAGGTATTCATTCTGAATTGGAGAGGAAGACTCTTCTAGTCTCACACGGCTTAATATGCATTTCCTTTTACCTGCTTAAACCTCACAAACTATTAAGGGTCCTAGAGAAAAAAAATAATGCAATGACCATCTCACGAACTTCAAAGTTGGTTGACACTAATCCATTGGTCATTTGTCATATATATTATTAATGTATATCTTATTAATGGATCCTATAAAACGACCAGTGAATGTTTTTGTTTTTTCTCACTGGTTAATAACATAAATAATAAAACAGATATGTACTGATATGCATGTTGCACATTATTTGGATAGGCTTGAACAAGGTCATTTGAGATAAAATCTTATTTTCTCCTTGATGGAATAAAAGTTTTAAATGTTTTTCTGGTGAAAGAATGTTCAGAGATTTTTTAGGAATATAGAATGTCTTCTTAATTATCTATAGATAGGAAGTAACATGACATGCATTATCTCTTGCAACCTGCACAATATGACCTTGAGGTCAACTTGAGGGAAACTGCTACTTCTGATATATCATGAAAACCCAAAAGCAAATTGAAATGAGCTACAGGCTCTACAT